ATAAATAATTGCAAAAGTTGACATAACATAATTAAAATATAATTTATATTTGTATTGATGTAGATGGTATTAAATTGTCAATGTCTTTGCTGTTTTTCCCGATAGGTTTATTGGGTAAGGTCGGCAACGAGCTTTTGAGACTTCACGTATTATTGTTATGCATCATACACTTAATTAACGTGTTATTATAATAACTAGGAAAAGGCCCGTATGTTGTACGGGTGAAAGTTTAGTGGCAAAAATATAAAGAAGTAAAAAATAAAGTGCCAAAATTATAAAGATGAAAAGTTTGTTGAAACTTTAGTGGCAAAATTAGTAAAAATAAAGTACCAAAACTATAAAGAGGAAAAGTTTGTTGAAACTTTAGTGGCAAAATTATAAAAAAGTAAAAATAAAGTGGTAAAATTATAAAAAAATAAAGAAAAAGTGTTTTATAGAAGTAAAAGCGAAAGTTTAGTGGGAAAATTATGAAGAAGTAAAAATAAAGTGGCAAAATTATAAAAATGAAAAGTTTGTTGAAAATTTAGTGGCAAAATTAAAAAAAAAAGTAAAAATATGGTGTTAAAATTATAAACATGGAAATGTTATTGTTGAAATGCGTAATGCGCTTTAATATATATATATATCTATATATAATATATATATCTATATATATATATATATAGGGAAGGGTTATTTGGAAAACAAACCCTAAAAATCATAAAAATGCATAAAAAAAATACTTAGACATTACAAAACTTTTTTTTGAATTTTTTTATCAAAAAATCGCAGCATTTTTGACAATTTCGCTGAAAAAAAAAATAAAAATCAATTTTTTTTTTTTTTTTAAAAAAAAAAAAATTTCAAAAAAAATTTCAGCGATTTTATGTTAAAAGCTGCGATTTTTTGATAAAAAAATTCAAAAAAAAGTTTTGTGATCTCTAAGTTTTTTTTTATGCATTTTTATGATTTTTAGGGTTTTTTTGTTTTCCATAGAACCTAAACCTATATATATATATATATATATATATATATATATATATATATATATATATAATACGATAATGGATTTAAGATAATTTTGAAGGAAAATTCTATATGTATCACCCAAATTGTTTAATGTATTTTCCTTGTGAGTAGAATAATTTTTGTGTTCCCTATCATTTGATAATTTATATATGAGTGAACGAAAATACCGTTAGCACTCATTTTGAATTAACGTATTATAGAAGTATGTCTATGTTTTTTTTGTACTTATTTAACATATTATTATTGTCGTTCATCATAAATTTTAAATGAAAAAATAAATATCTTTTATTTTATTATTATTATTATTATTATTATTTTTTGTATATTATATAAAATCTATTGATTTTAATGCTTGCTTTTAAAAAATGATAAAAACATAAAATTAAAAGAAATTTGATTTCTCATTATTTTAAATTTAAGCAAAATCATAAAAGCTGGGACTAGGCCTTGCTTCCACATGACACCGCCAGTATCTGCCACGTCCAAGTAAAATCAAGACACCTCTCGAAATTACCTGCCACCTAAATCTGATATATATTTACAAGAACCCAGTCTCGTCTCTTGCTTTTTATCGAATCACACACATCCGGCATCCCCAAGAATCAATCATGCAGTCGAGATTAGCAGTCTCTAAGCTCAACAGGATATTAATGGCAACACCCAAATCCAAATATCAAACAATCCACCCACGACTCTTCTCGTCCTCCTCCTCCTCTGGTAAGAACATGGAGGATGCCATGACACAAGGAGTTGACACCGAGGGTGAAACCGGAGATGCCAAACCAGATAATCATGATGACAATATTATTCCAACCAGAGAAGACCATCGTTATATGCGTCCTAAGACAGTGCCGCCAAATTTGTCAGCCTCAAAGCTAGAAACTCCGGGGGTGAACACGCCGTTTGATCCTCACGTCCAGCAAAAGCGCACCAAGGCGGAGCTCAGCTTCAGCTGCGCGGGACTAGATGGTTCACCATGGCCGAATGAGAATGATCACAAGGGTACTGGAACTCATGAAAGGAAGGAGCAAGAGCAAGAGCAAGAGCAAGAGAAGGATGACAAACACTACTTTGAGCACCACAAGGCTTCTCCCTTGTCGGAAATTGAGATAGCTGATTCCAGGAAACCTCTTACTAGAGTCATTCATGGGACGGCGGGTGGTTATTTTGGTGATGAGCAGGTGATGACGTGGACACCGGAGCAACTTGATACTGCGGAGCAGTCTCTACTAAGAGCCTCACAGATATTTCGAGAATCAGCTGCGAGAGGAATTCCGGAACTGCCTCATTCAAGGAGACTCCGACAACTTCGTGGCGAGGATTGGTAGCCTTAATTCTAATTAATTGCTTTTTCAGTCATATCGAGTATTGTATGATATATATATATATATATATATATATATATATATATATATATATATATATATATATATATATATGGTGTGTTACATAATTAATTAAGGATTACGTTCAATGTTAATATATATCAACGTGTGCGCCGAATATTGGTCTTACAATCGCTGCACTGCGCAGAATTTTGTCCATTTATGATCTGCAGAAACTGTGCATATAAAAAAAATTAAGAATCGGTGCACGTACGAAATGCTCACTATAAACTTGCAGCTTTCAGAACTCCGAGGAACCAAATTTATAACCCACAAATACATTATACATAGAGGTTCAGTAAACTAATTATGCTTTCATAATTTCCATGCATCTTGATCTTGGTTGCAATAACAGAAAATAGCTAGTTTACTTGGATCCAAGATGGCGTTTGATTAATTACATTATTACATCTTCAGACCAAAAGAGAGCCTTCCATGACTGTGATGGCTTTACCTCGAAGAAGTACTCTTTGATTCTTGTTATCTAGATGGATATCTAAAATGCCACCTCTAGGTGATGCTTGGTATGCAACAAAATCACATTTCTCCAACTTATCGTTCCAATAGGCTGCTAGGGCACAGTGTGCACTTCCAGTAACAGGATCCTAAAAGAGAGAGACAATTATAAACATTTCTGCTACTACTGACAGTAACAACATATATTGCATACCAAACTAGCAAATTTTTTACTCAACTTGCTAAAATTGTTAAGCCCAAAGAATATTCTAAGATATAATAAAGTTGGTGTTATTTTGGTGTGCTTCCGTCCTACCTGCTTCAATTCTCAAATGGGACACTTTGATTTGAAGGAAAGAAAGAAAAAGAATTTCAATATAATTAAATTACCTCATCAATTCCATAGTTAGGGCAGAAGAATCGACTATAAAAGTCAAACCCCGATCCATTAGGCGCAAGTCCTGTGATTAATATCCCTCTGCCTGGTGCTTTTCTCATCTTATCAAATTGCGGCTTCAATTCTGCAACTTCCTTTCCTGATGGAAGAACCACCTGCACCAAAGGAAGAACAAAAGATCATGTACTACCTTCATTCACTTTGATCACAACTGTTTTGTTAAATGAGACTCATGTAAGAGCAGTTTTAATAAGATACATACAAGGATGTCATCAGATGCTGTCTTCTTTACATCAACAACAGAAACACCATTCAATATTTCAGAAATTATTGTTGAAACCTCAACATCATTAGAATCTGAAACTGGAACAACAGGGAAGTTCAGTTCAATCAGGAAGCTGGTTTGTGCTGCACCATTTTCATTGCTTCTTTCAGGAACTTTTTTGGCAGTTAAAATTCCAGAAAGGGTTGAGAATTCAATTGTGTTAGCTTTCACCAAGCAAGATTCGAAAAGGAAGTGGGAGGCTGCTAAAGTTGCATGACCACAAAGTTCGACCTATCATCAGAAATCAGAATAGAACAAACTTAGATTGATGAATGGCAACAAACTAATCTTAGCTTAGTTTCTATTACTAAATTCAGTTTGATCTGCAAGTACGCATATAGAATTGTTTGGCAAATGTTCTCACAGAAGTTCTACCAAATTCCCCTAAATGAACAAATGATAACCTAAATAAACATATAAATAAAGGCGATCATATATAGAAATTCAAACAATCAAACTGGTGATAACCTCAGCTACAGGAGTGAACCATCTGAGATGGAATCTAGGATTCTCCGAGCCGTGGTCGAGGATTGGAGTCAAGTAACAAGTCTCGGATAAATTGAATTCGGTCGCAACTGACTGCATCCACTTATCATCTTTCTCTATCTCCTCTAACCAACAAACAGCCGCCGGATTTCCTTTGAACGCGGTATCAGTAAATGCATCCACCTGTTTCTCGAAGAAAAAACACCAGATTAATAACCTTTTAAGCTTTCAAGCTTTCGGTTACTACGCAATTTGCAGCTCATATACTAATGCGCCCTTGCCCTTATGTGTTTTTGGCAAGTGCGTGAAAAGTGCGAGAGAGATGATAATAAGGAACTTACCACGGAATATTTGACAAGCTTTTTCGCCATTTTAACAGGAAGCCTTCAGGTCAACGTCGGCCACTCTCCGCCGGAGTCGACACCTGCGTTTTAGTATCCGACTGGTTTCCCCTTCCTGGCAAGTGGCAACTGTGTCCGAATGTAGAAAAGAATTGGTGAATTTACATAAAAAGTCTCACTTCCGATTTATTACATAAATGTTTATTGATAATTTCACCCAGTCTTGTGCAACAAGTAAATCACATCCCTTGAATAATCTAAAATATGAATTCTTTATGGGATAATGACTTGAGCGGGTAACATCCTATTGATTTTTGTCACATTTTGTCATTAAACTTTTTTTCGTGCTCTAATAGCCATTTAACTTGTTGATTCGTGTAAAATTTCCCCCTATGACTGATTATAGCCGGTTTCAATGATTGCATGGGTCTGATGTGACTTTTTTTTTCCTAGGTGGCCAATGAGGTGGCATGTAGGCCCCGATTTTGCCTCCCATCCTCATTAAAGTTAAGAGTGAAGTCTCGTTTGGTTCTTAAATTCGATTAGGGCACGTCTCATTAACCCCCGATTTTTTCTCCTTCAATCTTCAATCGGTCTCTGTAATGGCTTCATCACAATGTCCCATTGATCGAAACTTCATTGTAGTGGATTTCCACTATAATGGAACGTTTGCACCCAACCCATTAGTATACTTTGATCCCGACAGACAATCAGTAGGAGATGTTGACTTCAGTGCATTTGAGTACGAGGAGTTCATGGAATTCCTTCAAAAGCTCACCAGAACTAGAAGCAAAGACATTTACTTCTGCCTTCCACAAGAGTCTTTAAGTCAGGGAATTCATACACTGGTGAATGACGGTGATTACAAAGAATTTTTGGATTTGGCTTATGCAAATGAGAGGAGAATGAATGTGTATGTGGACCACTATAATGAACCAATCTTCGAATGGATTGAGGAAGAGGAAAATGAAGATCAAGACTACAGCAGTGAAGAGGATGAAGACTCAGTATTGTCGGAGACTTATTCTGTTAACCATGAAGAAGATGATGTTGAATATCCATTCCCAGCCAACAAAACCAAGGGTGACAGGTTCTTAAACAAACTTTGTCTACACACATTAGATGAAGATGTTGAATATGTTGAACCTCAATACCCTGTACATGATGATAGACAACCATGGAATCAGATGAAACCACTGTTAGGTATGCGATTTTCTAACCCTGATGAGCTTAAAAACATGTTGAGCAACTATGCAGTTGCTAATGGATATGATCTCTGGTTTGAAAAAAATGACTCCCAAAGGTTGTTAGTTAAGTGTTGCAAAAAAAAACAAGTCACCTAATTGTCCATTTAGACTTTGGGCCTCTTGGATGAGTAAAGAGAGGACTTTTCAGATAAAATCTTTAGTTAGTGAACATAATTGTAGCAAGGTGTTTAAGTTTGGGTCCATAGTAACTTATAAGTGGTTAGGAAAACAGTTTATGAGTGAAATTATAGAGAAGCCAAAAATGAGTGTTAGGAAGATGAAAGCTAAAGTTTCAACAACATTCAATATAAATGTGAGTGAGGGGCAATGCAGAAATGCAAAGAAATTTGCATTACAAGAAATTGAAGGAAGTCTAATTGAACATTATGGGAGATTATGGGCTGTAGCATGGGCTAGTACTGAAGTTGGAGTTGGAGTTGAGAACAAGGCCACATGGAAGTGGTTCATAGATCTCCTCATGGATGATATTGATGGTGGTCTTGGTGCAGGCATTACCCTTCTTTCTGATGGACACAAGGTGAGCATTGGTTCATATTTATACATCTGTTTTTATGCATGTTTCACTAATTTTGTTGTTGTTATTTGTAGGGGTTGCTAGAAGCAGTAAAAGAAAGGTGTCCAGAAGCTGAACACAGACAATGTGCCAGGCACATTGTGGCTAATTTTGCTAAAAGGTTTACCGGTCAACATTTCAGGAAGCTTTTTTGGAGGGCTGTCAGAGCTAGTACTGAACAGAAGTTCAAACATGTAATGGAAAAGATCAAATCTTTAGATACTCAAGCATATGACTACCTTATAGACAGAGATCCTACTACCTGGTCTAAGGCATTTTTTAAAGAGGGCAGAGATTGTGATGCAGTTGAGAATGGGGTGAGTGAGAGTTTCAATTCTGCTATTAGGCATGCTAGAAGGAAACCAATCATCACTATGCTAGAGGAGATTAGGATATTTGTGATGGAGAGGATATACAGTCAAAGAGTAGAAGGAATTGAATGGGATTTGAATATCTGTCCAAGTATTAGGAAGCTTATACAAGATTTGAAGGTTAAACAGAGGTAACATGTAGTTTTACAATTCATCTGTCCAAGTATTAGTTTGTGTTATTAGTTATTAATTTGTAGTCATTATTGCCTTATACAGATTGTGGGGGTTACTCCCTGTGGTTATCAAAAGTATGAAGTTAGGTTCAATGATGCAGCATATGGAGTGGATCTAATTGCAAAGACTTGTGCATGCAGAATATGGCAACTTACAGGGATACCATGCTTACATGGAGTAGCTGCAATCTCTTCCCTGAATCAAGATGCAGAAACATATGTGTCCCAATCATACAGTAAAGAGGCTTATCTAAAATGCTATAATTATATCATTAACCCTCTCAATGGTAGTGATATGTGGCCAGAAGTTCCTTATCGAAAGCCTTTGCCTCCCAAAAGAAGAAGATTACCTGGTAGGCCATCAGTGAAAAGGAAGAGGGATGTAGTGGAAAGGGAGTTGAGTGGACCAGTTAGACATTCCATGACAAGAAGGGGATCCCTGATAAAGTGTAGTATTTGCAAGGAACCAGGTCATAACAAGAAAAAGTGTCCATCTAAGCAGCAAACAAATACATCAGGTAAATGTCCCAATCATCTGAACATAATACATCATTTTGATAAGTAATTGAGACTTCAATTTTTTTGCAGCACCAAGTTCATCCAGGGGTAGTGGAGCAGGACCAAGTCAACCACCAGCAGCAGCCCAACCACCTCCACCACCACCACCACCAGCAGCCCAACCACCTCCACCACCACCACCACCAATAGCAGCCCAACCATCTCCACCACCACCAGCTGCAAGGCCTGTCCCAAGAAGGGCCCCAATTGGTAGAACTGGACGGAGGAAATATTCTGAAAGGATTGTCAAAATGGCATTGAGGAGGAACATACCTGGGGTTGGGAGCAGTGTAGAGAACCCTGCAGTCCTTACTTAAGTTGGTGTGTAGGTAGTGGGTGGGCACATCTTTTGTTATCAAGTTGTGATGTAAAGACAATACTATGTTTTATTTATGCTTTTCTTTTGGGTTTGTGGGCACATGGTGGCCCTTCTTTTGTGGTCCCTAGAAGGAATCTTTTGTCCTATCTTTTGTGTATGCAGACAACTACTCACCCTTTATTTAATTTAGAATATTGATGGAGTATTTCAATGAATTCAACCACCATATTCAATTAGTTTCTTATTATTTCTATGCATTGTTGTCTCATTGATTCCATTACAGTCAAAGAATGGAATCCTATATTGTTAGCTTAGATAATATGACAGTTAATCAGTTTTAACTACCAAGGGTAGTTTCGTCAATTCCTACTTTCTAGTCTGTTACAAGTTATTTACACATCTTGATGTGTAATGTTATTAGTTGAAGGAAGTCTAATTGAGCATTATGAAAGATTATGGTCATATTAACTAAGCTGTTGACTGGAATTAGCTAAGCTTTTGACTGGAGTTAGAAAGAAGTCTTGATGTGTAATGCTATTAATTGTACATATATGCCTTCATTCCAGTCAAAATTACTACTTTGTGATTCCATTCCAGTCAAAATTACTATTTTGTGATTCCATTCTAGTCAAAATTACTACTTTGTGATTCCATTCCAGTCAAAATTACTATTTTGTGATTCCATTCTAGTCAAAATTACTACTTTGTGATTCCATTCCGGTCAAAATTACTTCATTCCATTCCAACAAGAAGTTAAGATAATACATTCATTCCATTCAAACAACATCTTTCAATACATCATTCACATCATTTCATCATATACACGATGATCAAGAAAAGAAATCCTATGGTAAACTTATATATTTTTTCCTTCATTGCAATGGCATCAGAGTACTTTTCCTTCTTCATTTGTTCCATGTCTTCCTTCACCTTCTCTACTTCGGTCTTCAATGCTACTAATTCAGCTTTCATTCCCTCCACCACTTCCATTAGAGGCATTTCTACAGGTTCTACATCCAACCATTTCCAATATTTGCATTTACCCTTCAACACAAATAACTCATAATAAGATTTCAAATTAGGAAAAAAGAATCAGAAAAGGGAGAAGATTCAAGTGAAATAGTTTACCTCATTGCACACCATGAAATGCCTCCCTGGATTCTTTGGTGTTTTTGATGTTAGAATACGTGCAGGGAACCCACAATCACAAGTTTTTGGATCGTTCGCAGTTGATTTCTTGCTTGATCGATTGAGGGATGATGAGAAGTTGTAGGAGGAAGCCATCGGGGTATTAGGGCACAATCAAGGAACCGCATACATCCCTCTTTTAATAACATTAGCCATACATGCCACGTAGGATCAAACTGACACGTAGGATCGACCAGTCCATTGAAACCGGCAAAAAGCAGTCGTAAGGGGGAAATTTACATAAATGAACAAGTTAAATGGCTATTAGAGCACGAAAAAAAGTTTAGTGACCAAATGTGACAAAATGCAATAGTATGTTACCCTCTCAAGTCATTATCCCATTCTTTATTGGATATTTACAAAACATATGGATGCCTCTTTTCGGTAAGACAAGGGAGGTGATAGAGTTTGCGGCGGTACGGGGGAATTGTCAAAAAAGAAAAAAAAAAAGAGTAAACTTCAAAAATGGTCCCTGTGGTTTTCGAAAATATCAAGTTTAATCCCTAAGTTCAAAAAACCTCACGGATCGTCCCTGTGGTTTCAAAACTTTTAACATTTGGTCCTTCCGCCTAACTCTGTCAGCTTTCTACCGTTAAGTGAGGGGTATTTTCGTCATTTCACTACTACAGGGACCATTTATGAAGTTTTTCCTCATTTAAAAAAAGAAAAATATATATAATTATTTAATATAAAGGGGGCCCACCCACCCACCCACCCATCTCTCTCTCTCTCTCCCTCTCTCTCTCTCTCCCTCTCTCTCCTCTCTCTCTCTCTCTCTCTCTCTCTCTCTCTCTCTCTCTCTCTCTCTCTCTCTCTCTCTCTCTCTCTCTCTCTCTCCCCCCAACAACCCCACCCTTATTCCCTTCTTCCCCACTCCACTCCACCCCTTTCTCTTTGTTTTCTCTCTTACATTCACAGGAAGAGCACTTGCAACCTAAAATAAAAAGGGAAAATTCAATCCCTGCTATCATATAACTTCACCTCCACCACATTCGTCCGTAATTTATGATCATCATTATTGCATCATCGTAACCATATTTGTTTGAAGTTTGTTGCTCTGTAACGATTCCACGATACAGTCGCTCCGACTATCACTGCATCATATAATACCCATCGACTCCGACGACGAAACCACCTCCTAAAACCCTAGCGCCGTCGATTTCGATTACATCTCCCAACCACTGTCAGCTGCTTGTTGTCATCATCAATTTGTGGATGCGATAATCACCGCCCTTCCCCATATGTGTGTGCGTGGTTTTTATTGTTTCGTCCTGTGTTTGTATACGTTCCAAATTACATTGTTGAAATCGTTGTCAACAATCGTGAGTAGTTGACCTACGTTCCAAAATACATTGTTGAAATCGTTGTCAACAATCATGAGTACAGACCGCAACTGCAACACTGGTGGTGGAGCACCATCACATAACTTCAATCCCTGCTATCATATAACTTCACCTCCACCACATTCGTCCATAATTTATGATCATCATTATTGCATCATCGTAACCATATTTGTTTGAAGTTTGTTGCTCTGTAACGATTCCACGATACAGTCGCTCCGACTATCACTGCATCATATAATACCCATCGACTCCGACGACGAAACCACCTCCTAAAACCCTAGCGCCGTCGATTTCGATTACATCTCCCAACCACTGTCAGCTGCTTGTTGTCATCATCAATTTGTGGATGCGATAATCACCGCCCTTCCCCATATGTGTGTGCGTGGTTTTTATTGTTTCGTCCTGTGTTTGTATACGTTCCAAATTACATTGTTGAAATCGTTGTCAACAATCGTGAGTAGTTGACCTACGTTCCAAAATACATTGTTGAAATCGTTGTCAACAATCATGAGTACAGACCGCAACTGCAACACTGGTGGTGGAGCACCATTACAGCCACGTCAGAGAAGTAGAGCTAGAAGATTCAGGCCCATGTTTCTTATCTTTCCAATAAACCTTGTATTATGTTTTCTTTAAAATCTTGTTCTTATTGCAGAGAGGATGAAGGCTCTGTAAGAACTCATATCAAACGCCAACAAGATAAAGGAATTTGGCAGTTACCAGATCGAGATGCTACTAGATAGATTGGGACGTTTTGAGGCAAATGAGAGATTAGTGGGTTCCTGTAATGGTACTCAATTTGATTCTACTCAAGAAAACCAAGATTCTACGAATTTTTTCTGGGTTTCGATGTTTATCTCATGGGATTCCGGGTTTGCAATTCTGGATCGTACGTGGTAGTACTTCTTCACGGGTCGAGACCGGATTCTGAAGATGTGATTCGGTGGACAAATCTGGAGTTTCCGATTTTGGGTTTTCTTTATTTGTGGGTGTGTATGGGGAAGACAATGAGCAGAAAAAGTTGAGACCCAGATGGTTGAGACCCAGATGCTGTGAATTGGAGAGCTGTGAGTTGGAGATTTCATTAAGAACCATAGTTAGTAGACTTGGGTGTGAGATTTATGGAGCGATTCAGGGGTTTTGGGGGATTTGAATGAGTGAGATTTGGTAACACAGCTGTTGCAGCTTCCATTGTTGTAGCTTTTTTTAGGACTCCTCCATTGTAGAGAGAGACAAAGAGAGAGAGAGAGAGAGAGATGGGTGGGACCCCTTTAAATTTAATTTTTTCTTTTTTTTCCAAAAAAAAAATAGAAAACCTCATAAATGGTCCCTGGGTGTTGAAATGACGAAAATACCCCTCACTTAACGGTAGAAAGCTGACGGAGTTAGGCGGAAGGACCAAATGTTAAAAGTTTTGAAACCACAGGGACGATCCGTGAGGTTTTTTGAACTTAGGGATTAAACTTGATATTTTCGAAAACCACAGGGACCATTTTTGAAGTTTTGTCAAAAAAAATTAATAAACATTTGCTATGATACGATTTGGAGTTTATGGAAAGTAAGGAATGACAGAACATTCAATTGAACGCGGATTATATCAACAAAGGTGGTGGACATAATTAAGTCATTGGTATTCATTTGGATTAAACACAAGAGTAGTAAAGTAGCATATAATTGAGTAGATTGATGTATTAATCCATTCATGTAATAGTAGGAATATAAAAGTATGTCGTCTGTATATGGTGGTGTATACAGTGGTGAGTATACTGTATTAATCCATTCATGTAATAGTAGGAATATAAAAGTATGTCATCTGTATTTGGTGGTGTATACGGTGGTGATGTTTCTGGATAGTATTGGTCTTGTGCTCCTCCACCCTTGCCTAGTTCACGGCTAGGTAGGGCTCTCTTTCTCTTCTTCTCTTAAAAAAATTGTTGGTTCCAAAAAAAACTTACCAAATTATAAGTAAAATAATATACTTATATATAATGTTATTTTTATATATGTATTTTATATTAGAATTTATCTTAGTTATATATTCAAATAAAAGGTTAGATTACCTAAAATAGATGCTCTTTAAGGATTAATATAGATTAGGGAAAATGATTTAAAAAGGTAATGAGTTTTCCAAAATGTACAAAAAAAATATACTTGTTTTTTTTAAGTATACAAAATATCATTGAATCGGTTATTGTAGGTAACCATCAGGTTACCCAGTTTCCAAAATGTTCAAAAAATATCATTGTTTTTTAGTAAAAAAAAATATCATTAAAGTATACTATTTGTACACAGAATATCAACGAAGTACACATGTGTTCAAATAAAACCTTGTGGTAACTGGTTACTTCATGTAAATGGAAAAATTACTTAAAAGTCTAAAATGTTTAAAAAATACCGCACTTTTTGTTAACTTCGTTGTTGTCGGATTATGTAGAACACGGTCACTGGAGATCATGAAACATCATATCAATTCACAACAATTGTTCAATCTCTTTCATTCCCTCACTCGACCGTTCTTGTGGTAACATGAGAAGTAAGTAGGTAATAACCTTAGTTAAACGTTCTTGCTTCCCGATCGCATTATATGCCTCAAACCTAAAACATATATACGTTATACAGATACACATAATATATATCAAGGTTAGTCGTTGATTAGTGTTGTGGGACAAGAGAGACACAAAGGAGAAATGAGTGTGACATTATGTCATGAGAATTCCTAAATGTGGATGTAGAGAGTAAGAGTTGCGTTTAATTCTTCAGGACCAGTGAGAGATGAATAGCCAACAACACTCAGCATTATGTGGCTGATTTGATGACGAATTTTAGTCAAAGTAGAGAGAGAAGCATATGTATAGGAGCGCTTGAACGACTTGCATCCTAATTGATGGATTCTTAGTTATGTGTTTTTCTATGATTGTATTTTGATACAAACTGATCGAGTGAGGGAATGAAAGAGAGTGCACGGTTGGTGTGAATTGATATGACGGTGAATGATCTTTGATCACCGTGTTCTACATAATCCGAAAACAACGAAGTTAACAAAACATGCTCTAAAAAAACAATAGTATTTTTTGAACATTTTGGAAACTTCAAATGGTATTTTTTTTTCCTAAAATATGTACTTCATTAGTACTTCAATGATAATTTTTTATACTAAAAAAACAATTGAATTTTTTAAACATTTTGGAAACTCTCTTACAAATTCCTTTTATACAACGTGATTTGCGTTAGATATTTTCTTACAATTTGATTTTTCTTGTGTAACAAGTAATTCAAATCCTTTTGAACATGATGCGTATATAGTATGTTTTTCTATGCTTGGCACATGACAGTTGACTTTCCAAAAAAAGATCATACAACAGATTAAAATAATAAAATGCATCGTTATAATAAATAAATAATAGAAATATACAAATAAATAGTTCTTTACTTATAACAAATGAAACAAATGGTTACATAAGTTGCAATAAAAAGGAAATTACACACAGACATACACAAATTGGTTAAAAGAGAAGTCCCACCCAATTTGCAACAGAAAAGGGGGAACATATAGTATTAGCCAAAGATCTTCAGCACTTCCCCATATTATCTATATCTATCAGCTAGAGTAAAACAGAACAGAATAAGTTTTTACATCCAGACATATTTTAACTGGTTCAAACTTATCTATTTACATGGGTCGGATCCAGATCCGGATCCGGATCCGCTTACCAGAACCCGCCTTTTGCCATTTTCATAAACTGGCAAAGTGTAATGATTGGGAGGTCGTTGTTACCCGCTTTCTTCTTCTTGATTTTTGTCATCTTCACAACCTTTGTCCCTTTTGTTTCCGTCTCGGTTGTTGAGACCAAGTTATAGAACTGTCAACCACCAACAAGAGTTAAGTCTGTTTGATGTGATGGAATGGAATCGACAACGTGAAGGTAATGGAATGGATCATTACATTCCATTGTCGTCATGTTTGGTTGACTAGAAGACATGAAATCAGTTATATGATTTTAGCAAAGTCTGAAGTAGATTTTAAATGTTACCTCACAAACACCATGAAGTAGCAACCTATGGAAAGGGTCTTGGACATATATCACCAGAACCTCCTCATTACCTGCCTCCGAGACAAAGCCACGAATGCTCTCCTGCCATTGTCATATCATTATTTTGGCATTGTTGAAGGGAATTTTAGACATTCAATCACATATATTATATGATATAACCAAGTGAAGGTGTAAAATACCTCATAACCATTAACAAGTTCAGGAAGAAAGCTTCGGCGGAATGCGTCTCTAGTTTTGCAGTCAACCCTGTGCCATGCAGTCAAAGCAGCTATCTTATCAGCATCCACACGGCTTTTCTTCTTTGATGAAGAAGAACCTTTAAGTGCTTCTATTGCACCAGCCTACCAGAAACAACAAAAGCTTTCAAAGTTGAAGCATTGTTACAAGCATTAAGACACAGGGTTACCTCCTTATCCATGTCTATGTTCCTAAACTTGTCCCACTCCCCCACATTTGTGAAGCAAAAGGGTGAAGGTTGTGCCTCATCACCTGTAAAATGAAATGGCAACTCAATTATCTAATAAAGTCTAAACTAAACCATTTATACAAAAGCTACTATTATTCAAAATTCAAAAAGATATTTAGATGTATAAATGGATTTACCCCAAGGTGGTGGAGCAAACAGGCCTCTAATTTCATCTCCAGTCAAACGAGGTACAAGCTCCAACAAGATACGATCATTTATCCATCTTCGTGCACGTCTGTTGCTGACCTGGACAAAATGGAAGATTTAACTTTTAACTACATGATTTCAAAAACAATGATGGAGAAACCACACGAAATGGCTGAAAATTAAGGTATTATCAAAATCATCCAACTTCCATATCATGTTCGGATTATTCAGTCGACAAACAAGACCAAATCTTTAGCATAGAGCTTCCCATAAATAAGGTAAACAAGAAGCTTTAGTAAATTGAAAGATTCAATAAACAATCAGCAAGATCATAGTCATGGCACTAAACATATAACCAAAAAGTTGTCAATTTTGTCCGTCAATAATTCAATTTATCACATTAAGTATTACATATGCGTGGTGTTTTCTTTTGAAATCAACAAAAATTAAAAATCGACTCCGGAAAGTTAAAAGATGGTAAGGGTAAGTTTTAATTACTCTGTCGTTCAAGCTCTCAAGATATTCGATTTTTTTCTCAAGCGCAAATCCTCGGGATTTCGCATCGCCTGCAAAGATCCAAAAATTTCCCTTTTAGTTCGAAAGCTAGCCAAAAAATTGTCCAATTCAAACCAGAATACAGATAATTAACTTATATTCAAAAGAAAAAAAAAACGATAAATTTAGGGTAAATATTGGTACCTTTCGTATGATCAAATCGAGAAGCCGATGAGAAAATATCGTGTTCTCCCTGCAAAAAAACATCTGGGGTTGCCATGGCTGAACGTTTTGATGGATAGCAGAAGCTGATATCTTGTTGAAGATAGAGAAGATTAGCGGAATCTGAGCCCTAAATAGAAATAAGCAGAAAAGGGGGAATATGCTGTGATGCGATGCAGTCGAACGCGGGATGCTTCTTGTGTGTATATCTGTAGATTAGGGAAGTAGGCGATTTGGGTCCTCTAAAGTATGAATAATTGCACAGAACTTCCCACAGTATATAAAAGACTACAAAAAGGTACCATATCCATATGGTATGAAAATTTGCAAAAGATCCTCATGTGGAATGAAAACATTGAAACAATAACTTGTAGGGTGAAAATTAAAAAAACTAAATGGATTTATTATAAGGTAAATTGCAGAAAAGTCACTAACTTGTTATTTCTTGCGATTATCATAGGGATGAAAGTGGGTCCAAACCCGGACCAGATGGACCCGGACCCGAAAAACCCGGAACCGCTTAACGGGATTTTGTAGAACCGGAAACCGGGTCGGTATATAAGAACCAGTTTCGGGTACGGTACCGGGTAAAGTGGGTCTAGAACCAGAAAACCCGCAAACATCAAAGTGGGTAGGTTGGAACCGGGTAAAGTGGGTCTAGAACCAAAAAACCCGGAAAAACCGGAATTTTTTGTTAATAACTTACTATTTAATGGGTTGAACTTTGAAAATTTTCATATTGATATCCCGACTTTGGGGGACTGTAACTCATTGAATATGAAACCAAAATTGACAAAATTATAGTCTAAAATCATGTATAAACTCTAAACTACACTCTGGAAAAAAACCGCATGTCAATCCGACTTTAAACGAATGAGATATGCATGTGTTAACGTTTTCACAGAATACAAAGTACAAAAATAAATAGCTGAAAAGTTGAAAATTTTCAGTTTTGATATCCCGACTTCGGGACACTGTAAATCATTGAATATTGAACCAAAAATGATAAAATTATAGTCTAAACTCATGTACCATCTGTAAACTACAAGTTAAAAAAAACCACATGTCAATCCGACTTCAAACGAATTAGATATGCATGTTTTAAAACTTTCACAGAATACAAAAAAACTGAAAAACTAAAAATTTCAGCTTTGATATCTCGACTTTGGGGGACTGTAAGTCAATGAATATAAAACTAAAAGTGGAATATTTATAGTCTAAAATCATGTACAAACTCTAAACTACACTTTGGAAAAAATCGCATGTCAATCGGAGTTGAAACGAATGAGATATGCATCTTTTAAACGTTTCACAAAAACCGGTTCCGGCCCTAAAAGTGGTTTCGGTTCCTAACACCGGTTCCGGTTTTTCGACCCGGTTTACCCGGACCCGATGGACCCAAACCCGGATTACCCGGAACCCGGATAAAGCCAATTTTTAAACCCGGAACCGGAACTGGTTCGATATATTCCGGTTCTAACGGTTGCGGTTTCGGTCCGGTTTTCCGGTTCTAAATCTCATCCCTAGATTATCACACCGTGTTTTTTTCAATTAAATTACTATGTTTTCAATTTGTTGCAATTTCGATCGGTTTGTTTCAGGTCACCCGGTTGTTACTGCTGTCGTGGCATGGGGTTATGATGTGGCATGCTTACAGGATATTATCTGGTTATATGATGACATGTCGAAGTCGAAAAAAGTGACACAAAAGCCACTATGTTTTCATTTTTTGCGATTTTGACACTAAATTATTATTATTTTTTTATTTTGACACTCCATTAATAAAATGTGCAATTTACCCTCTAATAAAAGGTTTAAACTTTAAATATTATCCAATACAATGAAAATTCAAATGCCTCCATAGAAACATAATTCCTCCTTTCAGCAGTCAAGAAAACCATTGCAAAAAGCTCGACTTTAAATCCCTATATTCGGCCTCTAGCTCGAAATTGATTGCCTCACATTTCAACGGAAACATGTTAGTCACATGGCCTTCTTTCTTATATGATTATTAGTCTCTATTAGAAGGAAGAATTTGGATTCTCTCTTTGTAAGTCACTATTCGGTGCTTAACTCCTCAACCAAATATGGGGTTTGTTTCTGAACAAGAGAATCTTCGTGTTTTCTCTTCCAATAATTTCATAGGTTATAACTTGCTAACATGGTATTTTCACCTAACTCAACTAAAAGGTTTTTTGTTGTTGGATTATAGCTAGAATCATAGTTTGTCCTTGACATCCTTGTAAATCTAAGGATACATTTATTCATTCAACAGGAGACAAGCTTTGCATTATGGGCATCATATAGTAACTTTGATTCAATTAAGGATTCTCTTGGCAAGGAAGGTTTTCATAGTAATCTAAATGATATTGCAGTCTATTTGGTTGAAAGACAATAGCATATTTAGAGTAATCAAAACTACCATGGTCAATCTTTATAATTCTCCTAGTTTTGGAAAGAAACTTCTAAATCAAAGACAAGATTCTAGGAAAGTTCACATACTATCCCAACATCACCATTACAAACTTTTAATTCTAGTGAATATGTTCTGGAGGATAATGTGGTGACAGAAGAACTTGGTGCGAAAGAAAGAACATGGGAAAGAAATGTTATGAAGTTGATAGTTGATCTTGAATTATCTATTTCCATAGGAGACTATGTAACACCTGTATCCTCAGGCATGATTCTTAATATTTAATTTTGTCATTTGTACATTTGGGTGCCCTACGTTGGGTGTAGGATGGCCTCCTACGTTGGGCGTATGTGAAAGATTCCATCGAGGGACTTAATACCCTATGTTAGGCGTAGAGATGTCTACACCGGGCGTATGAGCGCAAGATCTAAACCCTAATTGAGGGGTTATGAGCCCTATTTAAAGGCTCTAACTCCTTGAGGTCCTCCCCATGCTCAACCTTTGTCCTCATATTCAATAAACCTCGAAAACCTAGCCATCTTGTGAGAGTTTTGAAGCTTGATTGTGTTTTTGTGTGCATTCTTGATGAAGGATTCCATTGGAGAAGCATTTGTGAGCTCCAAGACTTATAGATCCAAACTTTTGACTTCATCATCCACCTCCAGGAGGTATAAAGCTTGCATCTTGATGTTCATTTGTGTTAGATCTAGTTAGATCATGACTCGTCGAATTCCTCCCTGGACTCGGCGAGTTGACTCTTTAACTTTAGGCTTTACCCCTTCACTTTCCTGGTCTTCCGGATTCCGGGTGTTACACATTCCGTCGTTGCTGAAGACGGAGACCATCGTGTGATGTCGCCGTTCAGTCGGTAATGAAGGGAAGCATATCGTAGCCGCCATCTTCGGCTGACAGAGCCACTGTCGCCGCTATTTTGGGCCGCTACCGCTCCACTGCCAACGACATTGGAACTCGTCGGCTGACGTCGAGTGGTGGACCATCGTGGCCACCGTTCTTCTCACTAGTTGAAGCACCCCACCCTCTTCGTTTTCTTTCACCGTCGCATATTCTCTCCTCCGCCGCCGCTGTGACGCTGTTGTTGCCACCTTTCCGTGTCACTTCCGTCACCGTGCGCCACCAGGTGGGTGGCTAGGGTTGTTTTGTGAACATATAGAGTGTGTATTTTTGCTATGAGTGGGTGTTGTGTGAGGGTTTGTTGACCGAAAAACCAAGAAAGCCACCGCCACCATGTACCACCGTGTGTGTGTTTTTATCTTAGTGAGTGTGTGTGTTTATTTGAGACTTTGCATTGTAAAATTGTAATCGTGTCGGAATAATAATAAGAAAACTCATAACCACCACCGTGAGGTGGTGGTTGCCGCCTCCTGCCGCCACCAGCCGCCGTGTTGGGTGGCAGTGTGCCTTGTTTGTGTTTGATTCGTTTGGGATGCTTGGACAAAATGGGCTAGGACCATAACCACCACCGTGAGGTGGTGGCCGCCGCCTTGAGCCGCCGTTGACCACCACTACCCGAGGTGGTAGTGGGTGGTGCCCGACTAGCGAAACCCTAATGGGCCTAGTGAAACCCTAATGGGCCTAATGAAACCCTAATGGATCTAAGGACTTAGCTTTTGGGCCTATTAGGTTGTGATTGGGTTGGAAACCCTAATTAGGGTTTAGAAAACCCTAATTATGGAATTATGGGCTTGGACTTATCGGGACCCGCATTTTGGGCCATTGGAATTGGATTATGTATTAAGCCCGACCACACCATATGATTTGTCTAGTAGAGTGATGGACTTAATGGATTAAGTCCTTAATGGGTTAAGTGAGAAACACTTAACCCTAATCATCATTTTATATGAAAACCTTAATTTCACTTGGGCCTTGAGTTGGGCCTTTCTATTGGGCCTTGATGATTGGGTTATTGGTGGGCCATCCAAGAACAATCATATGGACTAAAATATTTAGATGGGCTAGAGGGTAAGACCCATATGTGAGGTTCGGGCCCAATTTGGAAAATTAGGCCATAGATGGGCTATAATTGGGCCTTTATGATTATGAGATATTGGGCCATTAGAAATGCCAAATGTTTGGACTGGACTAATTAGTTGGGCCTTAGAATAAGACCATGTAAAGGTTTCGGCCCAATTTGGAAAATTGGGCCATATGTTAGGCTTTTATTCACAGTTTGACCTTTGGGCCTTGAGCTTGAATCAAGCTAAGATGGGGGTAAAGTAGCCTTTTACCCCAAGTATGGACTTATGGATATATGTTGGAACCCAATTGCTGATAGGGTGTTATTTTGATGATGGACAGTTCGAGAACCTGTCATCCAGCAGCTAGAGTTTTGTCTACGGGACTTCAGCAGTGTGAGGTAAGTTACCTTCCAGTAGGAGTGGGTCTACGGCCACAATGTCGGCCCACTAGTAGGAGTTGTTTGTTAGATGATTGTCTTTGTGATAATTATCTAGGTTTGCTAATACCTGATATGTTATATGTGCTAGCATGATATGATGTTGTGTGATATTGGAAGTAGGGGGAATAGTCCCTGTGTCACGGTCGTAAGGACCGAAGGGTAGGTCGGGCACCCCAGAATTTCCTGACAGTATGTTTATGTTATGTTATTATATGGTAGTAGTAGTAGTAGGGGTGAAATAGTCCCTTAGCCGGTTCAGATAAACCGGAGGGTAGGTAGAGCACCCCAGAATGGCTTGACATGGGTAGGTCAGGCACCCCATAATTGTCTGGCAGGGTAGGTCGAGCACCCCAAAATGGCTTGACATGGGTAAGTCAGGCACCCCA